GGGGGGTGACTTCAATCTTTGTGGGCAAAAATATCTGAAAAATGAATGTGAACATGATAAGTATATGAGCAACCTCCTCCACATTGATCTATCTTATAAAAACAGCATGACAGGCATCAGACTTAGAAAGGCATGGCATGCAATCTTTACAGTATAGTCGATACTCATGGTTGAGCAAGTAAATAGGCATACACTGACAAGCACGTCTGCAAGTTGACTTACTTACCAATATAAGAGTAATCTGGCAATTCTACAAGCTGTGTGTTTCTGTGTTTAAGAGTTTTCTCGTGGTCTCTGCGGAGAACAAAAATTGTAGTGCAAACCAGTTGAATCAACACAGTAAAAATAACAGTTACACTATGATTTATAATACAGAAGTATAAACTGGTGACTCTGCTGGGAATAATGCTCAGCTGCAGCTGATTTTTCCTTTTCACAGCACGGCCTTTTTGACTTTAAGTGTTCTTCTTTTAGGCAATCCTGGTATAACTGAGAAGTTTCGGGAGATTTCATAAATATGCAAACGAACCAGAGTTTCAGCAGTTTAAGACTGTGACTAGATCTGAGAAATAGTAAAACAATACATTTTTGACACTCATACAGAGAAAAAAAAAGCTTCTCAAAGGTGTTAGTTGAGTACACTCCGGAAACAAAATTCTTCCCATAGATAAAAAACAAAACAAATTCCAAACCTCCTCTTTAAAAAAAAAAGAAATTTCCAACTACTGGTGAAAGAAAATCAAACATTTAACCACAAACCATTAACAGCTAAATGTAACAGATATTCTGCACTATCTCTCCTGCAAGTAATATATTGACACATGGCGAACGTGGAACAGACTTCAACAGAAAACTAGCCCTCCCTTGGTCGAAGAAAGACCATCATCTCCCGCAGAATCGACAAACTTGTGATAATTAAAGTTCCAGGTACATGGCAGTCTTTCCTTTCTCTGAAACAAAATTTTCTCCTGCTGAAACTAAAAATCCATAACACTGACAGGAGTATGCAGGAAATCATGGATTCTTGTGGATCCTTCTGCTCTAACCATATTGCAGATATCTACTGGCCATGAATGAACCAACTTACTGCAAGTAGCTCCACTTCTTATCAACAATTACAACATTGTGGTCAAGTATTAGACGATACATGGTCACACAGGAGTAAAAGGAAACAAGACAGCAGGCAACCTGGCTAAGGGTGATGCATGCCTTCCGCAACCCGAATACCCCGAGACACATGATATGGCTTTCCAGACGGTAAGATCAAACTGTAAAAAGCAATGCCTGAAGTACAAGGCAACAAGCACCACAAGTACTAGTACTTCTTTTATATTTCATTTGAGGTCTTTAATGTCAAGAGGATTAAAAATAATTATTTCTGCATCACTAATTAGAAAAAACAGAGAAGTCTCCTTAAACAGAACATGGTTGATCTGAAAAAGTGGTAGACCAAAAGAAAAGAAAATCCTAGATTTTGCTCTTCTGTTTGAGCACCCTCTCTAAACCAAAAAAAATCCTGTGGTCCCGCAGATCAGTTTAAGTGAACTCCACTACGTTCATTCATTATATCACTTAAAATAGAACACTGTTGCTAGAAAAATTACCTTGCTTTACAACAGTGTTGTCTAACTCAAATAGCTCAAGGGGCCAAAGTCAAAATACTCTTAAGGTTGCAGGCCAAACTAAATAAACAAAGGAAAACTAAATCTTATTTAAATTTAAACAATGATATGAATAAAAATAGATAAAAAGTTAAAATAAAAATAATAACAAATCAATGCATGCCAATTTTTTTATGCCAATTTGTCAGAGCAGGATGTGTGTATGACATATTTTCTTGGCAACAAATTTGTTTATGTCTGGAATGAAGTTCTGTGTTATGGAGATTCTTAGGATGGACTCCTAAAATTCTCTCGTGGGCACAATATAAGTGTTAGCCGGGCTGGATGCAGCCAATAGGCCTAGAATGTGACACCTGCATTTTACAGGGTGACTAAAATCATTGGAATTACGCATGTTTCTTGTGGCAGCAATATAATCCATAAGTTCACTTCATGAGCTTTAATAAAATGAGAGATTTTGTTTGTTTTTGTACAATTTCACAGACAGGAGAAGAGAGAAAAGAAAAAGAGCAAGGAAATGATGAGGTAAATATAACAAAAACCGTAGAGCATTGATACTTCCGAGGGCAGTCTTTCCAACACAGGGGTTATCCCTTGAGCCGGTATGCATTGGATATATATATTCATTAGCCTCCCTCCCTTTTGCAATTATGAATTATAATTATATATATAATTTATGTTACTCACCTATAATGAAGATGCTGCATAATATCTCTATCTTTCCTACGATCTACTTTCAGATGGCTGGAAGTGTGCAGCCTACAGTCAGCAGCAGACAGCCACTTTAAGCTTGACGATGATATAAGCTGACATATTCCAGGCCGATACAAAACACCTAGGAAATGAAACGACAAATTTAATCATGATTACTCAAAATATGACCTCAACCTCTGAAACTGGCTTACTTAAACCGGCAGTGGATGCTCTGTCTAAATGAAGCTTGAGTGCCGTGAACGTAGCTTCAACAGTGCCTGCAAACTGCATTCAGGGCGCCGTGAACGTAGCCTGCCAACTAGTCCTACATGTAAGCACGGTGGGTCCACCAAAGTTCAATCCGGTCAAAATAAATTTTTCTTACAAAAAAATATTACATATAGATCCACTGGCTAATGTGGTAAGGTTCACAGTAAAATTGAAGATTAGCAGACCACCTACCAGGAATACTTTTTTGGGGGGGCCACCACTATTCTCACCCGGAGTGAGAAAAGTGCAGGCGAGTCTTGTGGCTATTCTCACCGGGTGCGCGTTCACCAAATTTTGCGTCAACCCTAAACCACAGAATTCTACACTGTGACAGAAAAATTGTAGAATTCTGTGCCGTGAGCCAAGAGGACGCTGAAACTTTCCGAAATCACAAATTTTTTTTTCACATGAAGGATTTTAGTTTTGTACACACACAAAAAATAGTGACAAGTGCACACTCAGCCCATGCTGTCGGCGATGAAATCTAGATCTAAAGTTAGAAAGTCTGGTACTGCGATATATCGCAAGCAATCTTTTGTGGATATCTCTGGAAGTTTCAGGGGGATCTTCATGATTTTTTTCACCTGAAGAGTTAGAAAGAACTCCTCTATACGGTGTAGCCACCATACAAAACCCACCAGTTTAAAATTCCTGTTGTGGTGGTGTTTGTTTGGTAACGTGTCTGTTTAGGTGCAACATGGGCTGGTTGAGTGTGCAATAGTACCATGTTTACAGTTTGGTGGATTAGCAGCAATGAAGAAATATGGACCAAAAAAGACTAGTTTTCTCATTGGCAAATGCATTTTGTAATAATACAGGGAAAATATCATAGAACAATCAAAATTAGAACAGCCCATAAACACGTCTATCATATTACGCAGTGACATAACACACACACACACACACACAGCTGGCTTGCTATTTATATGAAGGAAAAAAAGTGTCTGCTCTCTCAGTTTTTAAGAACTCCACCGACGCAGTTTTTACAATAAAAGTAGGCCTTCGATAAAAGTAAGTCTTCATTCATCCTGGCAATGGCATCAGATGGCAAGCCGGAGCTGGTAGAGTGAAACCAGGCATCACAGAGGTCACTCTGGATCCATTTTGTGTCACCCTCCTCCTCGTTGCACTGCTTGCATCTCCTCTCATCAACACCAAGCTCCACGTCATTATCACTTTTCAATACCATACCTTCTTTTTCCCTGCTACTTTCCATTCCCCTCATTCATGCTATTACTATTTAGCAGTCTCTCCAATTGCTTCCTCTCCTGTGCCTCCTTTTTCTCCTGTTTCTTTGTCTCTCGCTCAACTCTAGCTCTTTCCTGACGCTCCATCTCCTGCTCTCTCCTTGCTTTTGCTTCCTCTTGATCTTTTTTCCTTCCGTCTTTCATCTTTCTGCATCCTGGCCTTGTCTTTCTTTTCTTGCTAGAAGTTCCTGTACTGATCTGA